GGCAGATTTTCAGCCGCGATGGACATCTCTGGTAGGAGCTACTTCAGATGCAGAAGTTCTTTCTGGATCAGAATGAAGCAAATATACCTTCACTATAACATTGACGATTATCATATAAATATTGTATAAATGAACGATCACCATGTAAATAATAAAAATCATTAGAATATGTAAAATTTTCTGAACGAAATGGTATTGACATATTTAGAATAATTTCAGCTACATTTGATTGATCCCACCAAGTTGAATCTTCAATAAATTGATAAGAATCATATTGAATTATATTTTTTATTTCTAATAATGAAATAAAATTTATTAAAATTTTTTCACAATCAATTAAATTTGTTTTAATTAAATCTTCAGAATTAACAATTGTTAAATTAATAGATATGAAATAATTTAAAAAATATTTTATATTATAATTAGCTTGTTTAATAAGATTTTCTTTTAAAATAAATTTGATTTATATGTTTTTTATTAATTTTTACTATTTTATTTGAACATTGTGATTTAACAGCTAAATTAGCTGATAGAGACATAATATAAATTTGAATAAACATATCGTTTGTTAAATTCATAGAAAAATAATTTTCTTGAATAATATAACAATCTTGATTTAATCGAGTAATTTTAATATTTGCTAATTTTCGTATTATTATCCATTGAATATATTTCATTATGCCAGTACCATCATAAGTCCATACGAAACTACTTATCTGTGTAGAATTTGAACAATGATATGTTGTAGATAATCGTTGATTGTCAGAAATCCATTCAAAACAAGATGAATCAAATGATTTTTGAAGAACAGATGATGATAAACGATGAAACTCGAGAGGAATACCAATAGATAAACAGATTAGTAATAATATTAAACCAAAAGCTACATGATTAGTTGAAAATGTCACCTAAAATCATAGAAGTTTATTTTGCTTATAGATATTTACAATCAAACATTATCTTTCTCTAGCTAAAAATGGATATAAAAAATGACAAGGAAACAATGATGGTATATAACAAATCTTGTTTTCATAAGATTTTGAAAGAACTAGACTGGATTTACTGGTAGGCGCCCATTGAATGAAATCACTGACCATTGTGGGCTTTGGTATCAGTCGAAAATGTTTGTAAAAATAATATTCCTATATATAGTTTTGTAGCACTTTTCACGGGTTATACTCAGCATCTCCGATCGTTCTATCTTTGATAGGAAAAAATGCGACTTTTCGATGATTCATCATTGTTTTTCAATCTATGGGCGTCTACCGGCTGGTTCCCTCAAAATCTTATGAAAACAAGATTTGTTATATATCATTAGACGCGTCTCGACTTGCTCTACAAAATGGTGTCTTTGGTCTTTTTAATCCTGGATAAATTACCAAAACCAGCATGGTTCTTTTTAAAATTCTCAGAGCTTTTTAATCTCCCTAGTACTTATTGTTTGATAAATGAATCTCTGAAATTGTTATCATTATTAACAATAAAAGAAGGCAAACAAATCTACTCCATAACTTCAGAGATCAGATACTTGACAAAGAAATTACAAGCTAAACTTAATTTATCCCCTTAAAACAAAAATAAAATCATTTCGTCGACAGTGACACTCAATAGAAAGAGATTCTTCCGTTTGCTGTTATGTTACTATTTCACTGATGTCTTTAATTTATTAAATGGAATAAACAATCTTTCATAATTATATGAAGGTGTGAGCAAAGAGAAGTCTAACATCTATACTAATAAATCATGCCACATGAATTGAATTGCGAACTCATGGCAAGATATCTCTATTTGATTCTCATCATGTTCACATAGTATATAGTACTCTGAATGGAAACTACAACTTTTAGCAATTACATTCAATGATATTATTCACTTTGACGTACATCAGCATAATCAACGTCGTTGTTATAAAACCCATTGTTGTTGTTGTTGCGTTGAGTATTACGAGATGTAGACATTTTTCTTTCTGAATACTTCACATAAACGGTAGTGAATGAAAGTTAATGTTTCACCAAGTAAAGAACAGTCACATGGGGGTGCATTGTGCAATTTGTTTTTTCACTGTTCTGTGAGTCTCCATCATAAAATTCTTTCGGACACTATCGATTTTCTCTATGCTCGAGAGATTTCTTTTTAACCGATGTTAATTTAGTCATACGCTAGAATCTCTCAAATTATGAATAGTATTCGAGCTGTAATGTAGCATATCAATATGTTTCATGATCAAGTGATTTTTCGTAGAATGCAAATGCTTATTCTCTTTGATTAATTCATACAATAGAATGTAGAGAAAAAGCATTCTATCGGTGGTTAAAATATCAAACAGACTTTTTAGGATCTTTTGAACAAACAATATGAAGAATACCATTGGCAAAATATCGATCGATTAGTTAACTACTTGGTTGGAGTGTAGAGTAACTGAAACACGGTAGAAATTCAATGACTTATTTTGTTTCTCCATATGATTGATGAAAACAGAAGAAAAAAGATGAATGATCGAATGGAACTAATATTTGTACATATTCCAAATAGAAGATAGTACAAACTGTTCCAAGAATTCTTTTTTTTTTTTAGTTCTTTCAGGTAATGATCTTATGATTCCACAATCAGTAACTGAAAGAACGCCAAAAAAAAACATTCTTCGTATACCACTACTATTCTACAGATAATTAAAAGTAAAAATAAATTATACTCCTCAGCAGGGAATCGAATGAATAATTTTATTTTATGATTCATTCAGATTGCTGTGAAAATGCACTTCTACAACCATTTTATTTCAAATACAGACGTTGTACTTTCTTAGAATTTTCATGTAAAGCAGAAATGGACACAAAATATTTATCTAAAAATTGTTGCTTTAATATTATTCTCAGATTTTTATCCTTTGAAAACTAAACCTTAAAAAAAGTTAACTGTCAAAAAACGCGTTCTTAATATTGACAACTTCTGCTTATAGAAGAGTTAATAGTGTGTGATATAGTTAGTGTAATAAGAGGATCAAGGTGCACCTACTCACACTCTATTACTATACTCAAGCAAAAAAAAAAGGCATACTATTTTTGAGTTTATGTTCAAAACAGATTATAAAATCTTTACATTAATCTCATCTATTTGAAATCGTCTGAAATGCTGTGTTTTACATAATTGATTATCTTCGTTTATTCATTATCAGTGTATTGAATGTAATTTTCAAACATCATGTCAACGTAATCCTAAAGTCAAAAATAAATCATCAGAAACAACAAACTTGATTCATGTAATTCGTTTTACTTTGAATCTCTTATTTATCAACTTTTATCTTTATCTGAGTCAATCTTAACATTTAAGGAAAGTTTCTCGCTAATTTTTCTTTTAAAGAACATACCATAAATTTGGCAAGCAGTCGATACCTTCTTCTTTTCTAAAATCAATATTGATTAGTAACCAATAATTGATAACAAACTGCGCGGTAAAAATCGGATTTTATACGATGAATATAATACTAATCTATGCTATTGCAAATATATGTAACATCGAATAATTACTCGTCTTTGAAAACATTTCCACTAGTTAAACCGAACTGGTTCAACTGCTCTATCCTTTCCAGTGGGATCGGTATATTCAATGTATGTTTATTTGTAAATATACCCATCGATTGAAACGATACTTGTCATGTCGAATAAAATATTCAATAGAATACTTCTTCAGTAGCATGAAACTTATATACACGTGTACGTTTACCTTAAGGAAAAATATTATTTTGTCTCTTTCGGTTTGTTTTTTCAAACCTATCTATGCCTGTTTCTTCATAGAGTCTAACAGAAACTGTGATTCATCTCCTTCATGAATCATACTCGTGATTGATGCCGACGTACAACATCATTTCTAATTTTTCAGAAGAAAAGAATAAAGCAAAATTATTCAAGCAATATGAATCACGAACACACGCAATGTGCTACAATTTGAACAGTATATAAAGTATTTCATCGCCACAGAATAGGAATAACCAAGAACAAGTATACGACCTCAATCCAACAATTTACTCTCATAATGGTGACACAAAACTACCAACAAAATTTGCCATTCAATGAAACTTTTGATAGCTTCTCATCACCACACCAACCATCGCATCATGCAGTTGATATCAATCGATCTTGCCAAAGTGAGTTTTAATAAACCTTGATGATTATATAGTTTTGTGAGCGTTGAATTTTCGAATGTCAATCACAACAAATAATCTCGAATAAGAATTTAGCCTGCTTCTTAGCATCTAATTTTCAACAAATATCATGCATATATGCTTCTAGTTTTCTCGCACACAGTTCAAGATTTCAATCAAATTGAAAATGATTCATGTATCTGTATAATCAACAAAAAAAAAAAGAATCCTGTATCAGTACATGGCTCATTATAACTAATCACCCTGATTTCAGTTGAAAACGCTTTTTTCTAAAATTAGATAATTGAAATTCACACAAAAATAGTACATATGCCTTTCTTCTTTAGTTAGCACGTTTTCGGAATCGTGTTTACCACAGTCAACTCTAAATCAACAACAATTAAAGTCGTCTTCAACAATACTTGAGTCTCAAAAGTTACAATTATATGATAGGCAGTCTAACAATAGAATATCATTACCATCACAAACTCGCGAATGTAGTGTATGTTCAAGTGAGAAACCATATAGTGAATTCTTAGGAAACTACAGTGATGCATGTCTTCATATTGAACGAACTGTATGTGATTCATGTGTATATGAAAATACGAAATTTCTTGTCGAAAATACCAGTGTCTATGATGAACAACTCATCTGTCCTGAACAAAATTGTAATGCAACATTTGATTTTTATGCAATTCGAGGTATTCTTCTTGCAACAGGCAAGAGTCATATAGTATTTGAAAAATACGATAAAAATTTGATCTATCGACGTCTCGAAGAGATGACTGAATTTGTTTGGTGTGCACATGAATGTGGCTCTGGTCAATTGCATGATCTCCAAGGATCTTCAAGTCCTGAAGTCATATGTATAAAATGTCAACTACGAACATGTTTCACACATCGTACCATTTGGCATACAGGTATGACATGTGCTGAGTATGATCTTCAACAAAGTCAATTACCTGACGATGGTACTTGTGCATGGCTTGATCAAAACACAAAAAGATGTCCCCAGTGTCGATGGTATATTGAGAAGAATGCAGGATGCAATGAAATGAAATGTCGTCGTTGTCAACATAAGTTTTGTTGGGAATGTCAAGCTGATTACAAAATTATTTCACGTGAAGGCAAAAGTAATCACCGATCATGGTGCAGTCATTATAAGGTAAATAATAAAAAATACGAAGATTGAGATATTTTCAATTGATATAGACATGGTTACATTATAGTTTACTTTGTTTTAGGCAAAGCCTGTCGATGTGTCCAATCAACAGCAGACTCAACGATGGTGTAATGTTCAATAAGCGTATTAGTTCAATTTTATCAACATTGTTTTCAATGAATATATGAATAGTTTTGCTTTTTTTTATGAATTCATCACGTTTGTTTATCGATATCTATAATGTATATATTGACGACGGAAATAAAATCCACATGAATCTATTGCTGAATAATTCAAATAAAGATCGTCTAGCCAGAAAATAAGACAATCATTTGTTAGTTCGACAAAAGGAGCATCAAGTCTTAATACTATTTGATTATTTGTCAAGAGAAGAGAATTCGAACAAATATTGACGATAGTTCTACGACAATAGATTATGGTCAATGGAATGATCAAATAAATGGCTACATAGAGTAGGCATCTGCAAAGTGGTCCCGGTCTCGGTCCCGGTCCCGCCGGGACCGGGACTAAAATTTTACTTTTGCCGGGACCGGGACCGGGACCAAAATTTTCAAGCTAGTCCCGGTATTATTTTTTATCAGAAACTCGATTCTGCGTTTAGGTATTTCTTCTATTTTTGTGATCAGAAATCTAAAAAAAACAGCAATTTTCTTTACAATTCTGATAAAAATTTTCATCGATCCTCGTTTCAGTTTCAAGAATCGGAATTTTTTCACCATAATACAATTTTTAACTGGCATCGAGTCCAGACCGGGGCCGGGACCGGGACCGGGACCGGGACCAAAAAAAAAATTGGGCCGGGACCGGGACTGAAGAAAAATTTTGACCGGGACCGGGACCGGGA